CTTAATTGGGTTGTCTTTCTATGATTGTATTGTAAGAGATTTTTATATTTTCTGGACACAAGTCTCATCAGATGCACGACTTATAAATACTCTGTCCCATTCTCTGGACTGTCCCTTTTTTTTTTTAAAGATTTATTTATTTATGCATGCAAGAACTGGGATGGAGGCCATAGGTGCGGGGGGCGGGGTGTGAGAGAGGATTCACCAGAGACAGAGTGGGAAACAGAACAGGCAGATCAACTGAAATACACTGCTGAGGGGAACAGGAGATGAGATATGCCATGTGGGTTAGCTCCCTTATTGGGGATCGAACTCAGGCATCAGTGGCTGCTGATAGCTTGATAGCACTGACCCAATCTCTGCACCACCAGAGAGGCTCTCTGGATTGCCACTTTTTGATCAAATCCTTTACACAACAAAACAGAATTCTGATAAAGTCCAATTCATTTTTTTTCTTTTGTCCCTTATTTTTTGGTGTCATTTTAAAGAAACCAAGGCCATAGAGATTTATTCTTATGTTTCTTCATAAGTTTCATAATTTTAGCACCTATATTTAGATTTCTGATCCATTTTTAAAAACTTGTTTATATATATTAATTGAAGTAAATTATACATATCTGATGGGATAACCCTATCAGATATTAACCACCCACTCACCCATATTTCACCACCATTTTAAGTATTTTTAAGTGTATACTTCAGTGGCATCAAATGCATTCACACTGTTGTAGACCACGTACACCATCCACCTCCACAACTTTCAGATCCAGTTAATTTTTGATCCAGAAGCCCTGTATATTTCCATGGAGTACAAGGAACAGGTACTTCCTTTGTCAGGAGAGATTTTTTTCTTATTTATTTTTAGTTAAATTTTGTGTGTATGGTATCAAGTAAGGGTCCAATTTCATGTTGCTAACCATTAGTCTGAACACCATTTGTGGAAAAGACTATTTTTTTTTCATTGAAGTAACTATGTTATTAAAAATCAACACCATTAAAATCAGCACGTGTATATATTACATAATTTCATCAGTAAAAGTCCTACTTTATCCTTCACTACAACTGACCACTTATACCTGATTTATCCAAACATCTCCCCCTCTTACCTTTTTTTTGGGTAACCATTAATGACTCTTAAAGACTAAGAATTTATTTTTTCTTTTATTTAGGTATGTTTTCTCTATGTGCCATATATGAGTGAAATCATACATGGTTTCTCTTTCTATGTCTAATCCATTTCACCAAGCTTAATACACTCTAGGTTCACCAATGTTTTTGTAAATGGCAGGACTTCACTTTTTTTTTTTTTTTACAGCTGAGTAGTATTCCAATGTATATACAAACTACATCTTCATGAAGTTATCCACTGATGAGCAACTTTGAACTAATTTTATTATCTAATAAAAAAATTCACAAAGCAGGTAACTGGACTTTTGATGGAAAATAATGCTAAATCTTGAAATCACTGGGTGAGTTCTGCCATTTAACAACATTAAGTCCTCTGGTCTATGTAAATGGTATATACTTCCACGTATTTAGAACTTCTTTAATGTCTTTGAATTATATTTAATAGTTTTCAGAGTATTACACTTCATTTGATAATATTATTTGTAACTGTTGTTTTCCGCTTGATGCTATAAAGATGGAATTGTTTGATTTTACACTGCAGATTATTCATTCCTCATTGTTACTGTGATCTGTTTTTTATACATTGATTGTGCTTCCTGCAACCTTGCTTAATAGTTTTTCAGTGGATTCCTCAGGGTTTTCTTGACACTAGACCATGTGACCTACAAAAATACATAGTTATATTTCTTCTTTATGTCTGGGTATCTTTTTGTGAATTTTTTATAGATACCATTTATCAGGTTGAGGGAGTTAGAAAAACTAAGAGAGGAAGAAGAAATACAAAGAGCGTATTAAAAGAAAAAGGAAGTAGAAGCACATAGAAAGTGATCAGGAGAGTGACTGAATAAATTATACAAACAGGAGGAAGACTGAATAATATAAATAGGAATTTTAAAAAGAACTCTGAAAGGAAAATCCATAAGAAATACATTCTAAAATGTTCTGCCATTAGTTAAGTATATGCTTTTGGCAAATACCTAAAATTTTTGCATTTCTTGGTCTTGTCAATTATAAAAAAAAAGTAAGGTTATTTATTCCACAAACAAAGCTCCTACTATATATGTTTTGTATACATATTTTTATGTATTTTATGTGAGACCAAATGTGAGATGCTTAAGGTATAAAGGAATAATACACTTTTTCTGACATATAATTACCTTTTGGCATTTTATTACTATATTCTATAAAATACATTAAACAAAGCAATAAAACAGGAAAGGAAATAAGATAGAGAAGGTAGAATGATAGAAAATATAGAGAACGGGAAATGGCAAAGAATAAAAGGAAGATACAGAAAAAGGAAAAATTAAGTTTGAAGAAATCTGGGGAAGTAATAGAGAGACCAAGAAAAGAAGTTCAAGGATAAAAGGAAATAAGCAGTAACAGCAGGAATATAAGAACTGTATCACCACAATGACTGTTGAGGCCTATTGCTTTTCTTCTAGTCTTTCAAAATACTATCTCTTATGGTATTTCACTATTTGATTTTAGATTTATGCACAAATAAACTTCAGAAAATTGCAATCAAGTTTATGAATGGAAGAAATCCAGCATTCCCTGTATGAGTCTTAAAAACCAAACAAAAGCATGGTTTTCTTTACAGTTTGGTACCATTCATGGGGTACCATCTCTTTCTAGAGCTTTGTTCCTTTTCATGTCCTCAACTATCTGTGAAGCACAATAAAGCCAAGTCTGACAAAACAAGGTATGCCTGCATATTCACAGTAATACAAGCACCACCACTACCAATACCAGAACATTTCCATCACGCAAAAATGAAACCCCATTCTTACTAACATTAACCTATTCTGCTGTTTACCAAGTTCTTACAACCACTAACCTAATAATCTACATTTCTGTCTCTGGATTTGCTGATTCTAAATATTTCATATAAACGGAATCATACACTTTGTGGCCTTTTGTATCTGGTTCACTGAGATTTTATGTTTAATGTAATCACAGGAATAATAAAGGTAACTCTACGGTATAGGATCTTTTACTTTGAGTATACATTTATATTCTGAGCCAGTACCACTTTGATTACATCATTTGAAAATAGTTCCTACCTCTACTATTCCTCCTTTGATAGTGATACAGCATTTCAATGAGATCTTGAAAATACTTTCATTAACTCCTAAATACAAATCTTTTATTGGCTTAGTTCCCTTATTTAGAATTTGAGATGTAAATTTTAAAGAAAAACTATTAAATTGATTTCGTCAACTAGAACTCAGAATTCTATAATGTTTAACATTCTCATACACATTTCTAACCCTGCGCTACAGAGCACTGCAGAATTAGCACATAAACCTGAAGTTCAAGTTCTCCTGAGCCAGAAGAACAGATGGACTTACCAGGTAAGTAATTTGAGCCAAAGAGAATAAAAGGAAGATCCTTCCTTGCAGAGGAGCAAAGAAGATTAAAAAGAAGTTGCTATAGAGATCAAAAGTCAACCTAAAGGAATTCTTTCACAGGATACAAACTAAATCCCAGGCAAGTGAGGATACAATTCACATAAGAGCCAGAAAATGGAAAGGGAACAGGAGAAAAGGAAGTATCTCGGAGGGTCAGTTTATTGAGGGTGATAGGTTCTTTTAACATAAAACATATTTTTTTCAGCGAAAGTAAAGTAAGGCCCTCTTTGAGGATCACTTACTTCTGAAGTGGAAAAGATAAATATACTTGAATTTCCAAATGTTAGAAATTAAATTATTTTCACTCAGAAAGAACTCTACAATAATCGTATCCTTAGTTACTGAGGGAATCAAAAGACATGAATTGTAATCTTGGTTCTACAGATATTTGACTAAAGACAGTTATGCTTTTTATTCTTATTTCCTAATCTGTAAGAAAGTTGGATTAGATAATTCCTAAGGTCTCCTTCAGTTTTAACATCTTAAAATTTTACGTAAGCCAGCAACAACAAAAAAAATCTTATTAGGAATAAATACTATACTATATGCACACATCAAAAATATTTGAGAAAATAAAATTTTTAGGTCCACTTAATGTAAAACTAACATTCTCTTCTAAATGATAAATAGATTACATGAATCAGAATCATTTCCTACCAGTAACATTTATTGGAGAACAGTAGGAATTTAGTTTTTAAAAGCCTGAGATTATGACATCTGAAAAGCAGACCAGCGGGAGTAATAAGACACTTGTTCATCTGTATTTCTGTGACTTTTCTCACTTGGTATTATTTGCAACTGCACTTTTATATCTAGGAGCAGTGCCAACTTCAGTATGAATGATATATTATTTTTATCATGTTGATTACATATGTTCACCAGTTTAGTTGTCCATATATGTTTGGTGTGGTTTGCAAATACTCAGTGACAAAATCCAGAGCATGGCATTTTCACAGAAAGTGTTTACTGTGAAATTTCTCCTTAGAAGTTTGCTTTTCTATACAGCTTTGATCCATATGACATTCATAGTCCTACATTTCAAATAATGGTTTATAGTTAAATTAAGAAAATGCTTCAATGTGATATAACATGACTATAGCAGTATGTGGTAGTTCTAGTAGAAGGCCTCATTTTCTTATGTGATTAAAGATTTGGTCAAATTTAAAGTCTGCTGAAATTTTCCAAACTGTGCTTTCTACAGTTTTACGGTGACTTGGTACTTACATTCTGTTATTCATCAACACTTCACAGAAATACTTGATTTGTCTGAATGAATTTAAAAACCCACAACTGAAGAAAATCAGAAAAACCTGGTTTTAAATATCAAAAGATCTCAAATGAAAACTATTTCTGCAGGCCACAGTAAGCAAGTTTTATTGATCAGTGTACTTCTTTGCAGGATGAAATTGTTGCAAGATTGAACATAAAAAATAAACTTACTGGTAAATATCTTTCCTAAGCACAGACCGGCCAAGAGGATTGTCAGCCTGTGGAGCCATAGCAACAGAGCCAATTTTCAAAACCATGGTGTCTTCCTTTGCTGCCTGATTAACTGTAACACAAAAAGTAGAGTTATGAGACAGTCAATCTGTGCATCACTTCATGCATACAGAGAAATCTATGAGTAATGGGTAACAGAGTGGAGACACATTCAGTAAGACCAACATAGGTAAGACAAGAAGAAAAAAAATGTGTTTAAAATTAAAATATTTGATGCTTTTCTAACTACATCCTTCATATTCCATGAAGCACTTCTCTGTTATGCACAAAATAGCAATTTGAAAAAAAATCCAACTCAATATTAACATATATGGTATCAAATATACGTAATACTTAAGTAGTATAAGTTTATCTAATTTCATAATTTTGTACTACTGCCTCTTTCTCCCAAGTGATTTTTGGTCCTCAGTTTTTAAAAACAGATTTCATTCTACAAATATATTTAAGGAATGCTACTACATCAGTTACAAATTCTCAAAGCCACTTAAATTTACATGATCAGTAATAAATACAACTCAGACATATTCAAATGCACAGATAGCACTTTAAGCTGTAAAATGTCAAGCGAATCCAAAAGAAATATATGGTTGCAACACCAAAAAAAAAAAAGAGGTAAATATTTAATACATAAAGACATTCTAACTTGTTATTTTAGGCATTTTTAAATTTTGTTAATTTTTACAGTGAAGTTGTTGAAGAAATTATAATGTGACACATGTGTAAAACTTTTACCTACTAATGTAATCTAAAATTAAGGTAAGTGATTTCAGAAAAACAGTAACAGGTAAAGATATATTAATTCTGATTCTTTTCTTCATATTGAATAAAACAATAATTCATCATATAATCTCATTTAATGAAGATCAGTACTTTTTTCTCTGAATAATCAACTAATTATAGTCTTTTCTAAGGATAGGGAGGGGTTCCTGATGGCCCCATTAATTTATATTAAGTTTTGTTCCTTCTTCCCCAACAGATGATTCTACTGAAGTAGCTGTTTAAAAATTGTTAACAATATAAAACTTTCTGGGTTTGAAAAAAAATACTGTAACTCATAATTTCTCTCAAAGAACTATCATCTGCCACAAATGAAACAGAAAAGGACTGGTTGCAAGACCTCAGGAATATCCTGAACAGAACATGCCTACAAAGGCATACACCCATATTTCTCCAACTGTGGTGCCCAAAGAATGCAAAAACTAAGAGATTATTTCCAGCTGCTTCAACTATACACTTGGTATGGTCTGCCTTAGATTAGTTTTAAAAAGAAAGTTAGCATTAAGAAAATCAGAAAAAGAAAGAAGAAAGAAATTCAGTGAGGAAAAGAAAGAACCAGAATAAGATGTATACAATGGGAGTGGCAAAATGGCAAGCAAGTAGCGAAGGAGGACAGCAAAATGAGGAAAAAAAAGAAAAGAGATGAGTTATCATAGTAAATATTAGCATGTGGATGTCACAATAAAGACAGTATTATTAAACAGCCACAGTAAAAAAAGATCAAATAGAAATCAACTTCTCATACAGCTGCACTATTTTCAAATGACTAGAGGTCTGGCTTGATTATAGGTCCTTATACTATGAACACTGTTTACATTTCACAGATCTTGCATTTTATGCCAACCTTATCAAATAGTTCCATGTGGGTAAAACCTCTGATTAAACAGCAGGCATCAATTAAATCAATAAATAGTAAGCCTGGAGAATAGTCCATACCACAAAAGTGCAATTAGTATACTTGCTAACTGTTCTTTCAGGCAACAGATACTACCCACCATATGAAAGTCTGAAATGCAATAGAAACACTGCAGTAAATGAGGTACATATGGAAGAAAAATGACGTACTTGGTGTTACATACAAAGCCAGATCCAAGAACAGAATTCCGTTTCTCTTAGAGCCAAAAGCGTTTTCACCGGGTTATACTATGTTTTATAATAAAAAAGCACTTAATGCAGATCATTTACAAACTAAATTAAAAGAAACATCAACTTTATTACAGAAAATATTCAACTTATCAAAACGTATCATCAAGTTGTAAGAAAAAAAAATATATTTATTTAAGCAAGTGCCTTGAGTCATTTCTTCAGTTACTTTATAGTTAGAAAAAAAAATAAGCTTCCCTTTCTTGGTATATTTCACCTGCATTTAATAGTTGGACCATATGAGGAAATGTTCCCTCTAGAAGCATTTTCCACATGAAAATGAATGCCTTCCTTCTTTGCTTTAACTGTGTTTTTAAATATTGATCCTCATGAGAAACTACTCATTCTAGAAGACTTACACTGGAGCCAAAAAACAGTCTTCTATTCTGTAATAAATAGCTTAAACTGGAAGTCAAACACCTGTAGATTCCGAAACTTGATAATAACTGCACACAACACAAACAATATTCAAGCTGAAGTCAGACTTCCAATATCATTTTTTGAATGTTAGAATGTTAAATATTTTCTTATTAATTGAATTTTACACATGAACTATTAAAAACTTTTACATTTAATATAACATGAAATGTAAGTCTGAAAGATTTTATCTTTTCCTTGAGCAAGAGTATGTGTATAGCAAATAAAAGGGCTATGAATAAGTCCAAAATCATGAACTTTTATCAGTAACCAAAGGCTTAAATAAAGAGCAGATTATTCATGAAACTATTAGATAATATAAGACTGTTATAACTAAATTTTTTTAAATCAACATGAAAAAGTGTTTTGAAGACTAATTTTCTCAATAAGAGAAAGTCTCAATATGAGCATAATTTAAAATATCTGCAATCTCAAGAGTATTTGAACTTGCCACTGTGCGATATACTTTCATAAACACATAACTGTAGTGAGATCCCTAAACAAAGCTATCAGCAAAGATTTTAACTTATTTCCACATTTGCAGTTAAAGACAGAAAGATGGGTCAATAAATATGTAACATAATGGCTATTGTATATTAATTGAAAATACAGCTGGATCTAGTTTATGTGTGATTTTTGACTTATAGACAAAAATTACTTGATAATGTTTTTATAATATAGTTTTAGCTGAGAGGTATGATGTAGCAATCACTAGCTAGGCTATCACACTAAGAGATAATTCGTATATATTTAGTTTAATTAATCTAATAATTACTCAAGCAAACTTCTTCTAAAAACATTCTGCAGCAAAATGAAACTATGCATTTGTATTAGATCTTATTAGTCATTTAATTAACCTTATTTACTTGTAATTGAATTGCTGCTTCAATTATGTCTTCCTTAATCATGTATCTTTTAAGTGTGTTAATGTAAACATTCTATCAACTTAAATATTATTTAAAAGTTTGTTACATTTTATTTTTTAAAGATTTATTTAATTTTTTTAAAGATTTATTTATTTATGTATACATACAAGCAACTGGGTACAGTCAGAAGCGCGGGAGGGCGAGAGAATTCACCAGAGCCAGAGCAGGGAGCAGAGCTGGCAGAAGGACCGAGGCACACTGCTGACACTGCTGGGGGGAGCTGCGGGCGGCAGGGGAGGTCTGCGCGCCATGTGGGACCCTCCTCCAGTGGCCGGGGAGCAGCCGGGGATCGAACCGGCGCCGCAGAGGCTGCGGGCAGCTTCCCAACCCAGCGCTCAACCGCTGCGCCACCGGGGAGGCCCCCTTATGCTAGGATTTTTAAAGTTACATCCCCTTTGATCTAAGAATTCTTATGTTAATAAACACTAAAATGTTGTTTATTGCAAAAAAAAAAGTTCATATAAACAAATAATTAAATTTTTACCTAAGTACTAAGAAAATGTGGCAACTATAACTTCCAAAAATGGCTATGATAATACCCCCCATCCCATATGCATTTTTCAAAATTACCTGCATTGGTAGTACTTAGGCATCTGCATTTTGGCGTTATACATTAAAAATACCACAACCAACACCAAGAAGAAAGTAAAGATGGAAAAGACAAAGGAAGGGAGAAAACAAAGTTTTAAAAACAGGATAATAAAAGCTGGGAAATTTTTCTGCAGTCACAATAATTGTATAAAAACAACAAAAACAGAGTGAAATAATGCCATTCTTTTACCCCCAGGTCGTGTGATTTTTTTTCTCAAATATTGAGATTTTTATTCCTCTGACATTTGTACAAATCAATGCAGCATAGAACAAAGTACTCAGAATATGCTTAAACAGTAAGTTCTGAACACTGTCATTGCAGAGACAGTATGCAGCATACAGGTTGCTCTCACTGTTCTTCTTCTTGACTGACATATGCCTGCACATTAGTGCTGTTCATAAAAATACCACAAATCCTGCCTTATGCAAAAGTGCTTTCACACAGATTGATGGTTCCTAAAACCATAGAATTACATGACCCAACAATTCCAGTCCTGAAAACAAGGAGCTTGGAAAAACATTTGTATACCAGTGTTCACAGTTTTATTCACAATAGTCAACCCCCAAAGGTGGGAAAAAACCAAATATCTGAGAGATGAATAGATAAACAAAAATATACATCTATATAGTGAAATATTAGTCAACCACAAAGAGGAATAATGTTCTGACCCATGCTACAACATAGAAGGACCTTGAAAACATCATGCTATGTGAAATAAGCTAGAAAGACTTATGTGAAATAAGCCACAAAAGGACTAGTGTATGATTCCACTATATGAAATAACTAGAATAGGCAAATTCAAAGAGATAGCCCACAGATTAAAGATTACCAAAGTCTGTGGGAAGTTGTTATTAGTAAGTACAGAGTTCTATTTGGGTGATGAAAACATTTTGGCAATAGTAGTGATGGTCGCACGCTGTGGATATAATTTTGCCATTAATGTATATTTGAAAGTGGGTAAATGAAAAACATGTTGTATATAATTTATCATACATTCCAATTCAAAAATTATGATATTTTACAAGCAAATTACCGTAAGACAACACAGTTAACACTATAAGGTAGTTCTAGTCAAATATAATCTTTTTCTTTAAAGTCTTTACTTTTTTAATTGCGGTAACATAAGATTACCTCAATTAAATCATTATATATGATTTAGAGGTATAGGATCACACCCTTTAAGTGTGTGTTAACATACCACACCCACCACCAAAGTAATGAAAGTCCTGTAGTATCATCCATTGTGCCATCTCTCCAGTTTGCATTCTACTGACAATAACACAAATTGGCAAATTTTGAATGCAAATCAAAAGAACTGTTATAGCTGATTCAGAAATATTTGCCAGCATAAACACTAAAAGTCAACTATTTTAAAAGTCAGCAAAACTGATTCACCTAAGAAAAAGCAACATACTGGTAATGCTTTATATTCTAGGTCTAATTTTAAAACTTAAGTGGGTGATATAGCATACACATTTTATTTTATATTCTTCTAATTTTTATTTTTTGACCAATGATACTGGTATTTTTTTATTGAGGCAATATTGGTATACTAAATGATATGATTTACAGGAATAAGATCAACCCCTTCAGGTGAAGGTTATATAACCCTTCAAGTATAGGTTATATAAATAAATCTTAAAAATATACAATAGTATAGGGAATATTAGAGAACTCAACTTAGGGTTAGTTAATATCCAATTATTATTTAGAGACCAATTAGTTCATACAATTTGAGGATCATCTATAATTCCTGACTACTTCTATATTATTACAAAAACATACTGAGATGTCACTTTACTCCTGAGCTGTATTGTATGATCTTTCCCTTTTTTCATAGTATTCTCCCTGTATTTCTTCTACCTAATCCTAATATCTCATCTTTAGTATCACTTTTTTCATTATGTGTTCATGTAATTTTGGCCTTATCGATAGTTTGATAGTTGACACAAAAAAGAAAGTACTTAGAAAATTATAGAATTAAGGAACAAAAAAATATGCTACAAGGAATTTTTAGGGAACCATAAAGACATACTAATAAATCTTACTTAAAATGAAATTATAAGAAAATAAATTATTTTATACCAAAAAATAAAATTTATAATATAGATATAAAAAGATTATTCTTTTCTTTATTCTTTTTTTTTTCTTTTCTTTTTTTTTTTGTGGGACCCTCATCGGCGGCCAGGCAACGAACCGGCACTGCAGAGGCTGCGGGCAGTCTCGCATCCCAGCGCTCAATGGCTGCGTCACCAGGTGAGGCCCCAGATTATTTATTCTAAGACGTATTATTCTTATGTTTTATCTAGAAACAAAGTTTGTAATTTTCTTAAAAAGAAAAAAAATTACAGACACTAACCTGATGCCTTTGATGCTTTGGTGCTAGGCATGGGGTAGTAAAACACATCTGAATCACACAGTGCAGTTAACCAATGTCATGTCAATGAAAAACATATACTGATAAATAATGATAAATGCTCTGTAACAGCAACGCTAAGTCACTTGTTCCATGATGTTTTACCCCCTATTCTTAGTTGGAAAATCAGAAAGATGGTTTGAAAATCTCAATGGTCTTCTTTGTCTGTTCCTCTTCTTATATAGTTATGAAAAATGTTACTGTGACTCTCAAAAACTGATTCCCAGAGAACTATAGTGACTGAAAATGTAACTTTTTGCAGCTTTAATATAAATTACACTATATAAACATCCATTATATATTCATACCAAAAAAGACATATAAGGAAAAAAACCAAAGGTGGCACTGCCTCTGCAATGAACAATAAGCTTCTTTTTTAGTTAGTGATCTGTCATTTAACTTATAATTAATTGCTCAGTAAAGACTATTATTTACCATGCAGTTGTTTCTACAAACTATCAGAACTGAAGAAAACAACTTTATATTGATGTCAGAACACAACATATGCAGAGAATATTATTTTTACATCTGAAAGTAATAAATTTTATGACAGTCAATAGCAAAAATTAGAATAAAAATAATAGGAACTGGTTTTTATTAAGATTCCATCAGAATAATACACCTAAAATTGATCTCTAGAGAAATATTTTGTATATCAAGGACTTATGTCATAAATCCCTTTTGAGTTGCAAAAAGGAGAAATAGGTAAATAGTTCATACATGCTGAGAAAATAATAAAGTTCAGAATTATCTAATTACATAATATTGATAACTAAGAACTATTTTTTATAGAAACATTAGAAAAAGAATGGAACCAGGTGCTTCTTTTCTTATTTACTATCAATGACCATGAAGGTCTTCCACCTCAAATAATAAATAAACGAGAAAAAAAGCAGAATAAGAAGTTTTGTTGTCTTCATATGCTAGTAACTCTTATCCCTCATATAGTCATTCTCTCCTTTCTCTCAAATTCACAGGCCAGTATTTATTAGCTGGATACAATCAAGGGAGAGTATGTCTCAACTCTCAACCTCTTTTACTATAGGATATAGCTGTATGATTAAGTTTTGACCAATGAGGTGTAAGCAGTAGTATAATGTGGTTATCTTAGGTGTTATAATCCAACATTTGAGTTTAATAAAGAGTAGAAAGTGGGGCCTCCCCTGGGTTGAGCACTGGGCTGAGTAGAAAGTGGGGCCTCCAGCGGTTGAGCACTGGGCTGCAGAGCTGCCCACAGCCTCTGCAGCGCCGGTTTGATCCCCGGCCGCTGGCAAGGGTCCCACATAGTATGCAAACCTCTCCTGCTGCGTCCGCTGCTCCCCTCAGCAGTGTATTTCGTTGGTCTGCCTGTTCTATTCCCCGCTTTGGCTCTGGTGAATTCTCTCACCCTCCCGTGCTTCTGACTGTACCCAGTGCTTGTATAAATAAATAAATCTTTAAAAAAAAAAAAAAAACAACTAGAAAGTGTAAGCATAACTTGCAAAAACCTTGAAGAAAAAAAATCTGTTGTTTTTTACTCTAGTAATTATTAGAGTTGGAAACATACCAAATATTCTGCTTATCATTTGAAAGTTTAGTGAAGAATGACTAACATATTTACCCTCTTTAAACACCCTACAGTACAAACTACAGTTACTACAATATTAAAAACAACCTAAACAACAGAAAACAAGGATCTATTGAAGAAAGTTACTTAAAATCAGACCCCCCCAAAAAACTCTGAAGACAATACCTTCAATACTTGACTGCATTTCTTCTGTTTTTGGAACAAAAATTCTGATTACACTTGTGTTGATATAAATCAAAGGTAAGTTGCGTGAAGTCAGTGTATGGGTCCTCATGGGCTGACCAGGAGATTTTCTTTTCTCTTTTTGGGTCCTTCGTAGTTTTGCTTGAAATATACTTGTGATGGCATTAAGTAGAGGAAAACAAAGGACAATATCAAAGGCTTGTGCTGAAAGAAGAATTTCATGAAGAAAATGAGGCGAACCATCTGTTAAACCTTCAGATAACTTATGAAAACTTCTTCGCTCATTTCTTGATGTTAACTTGTGGCGGACATTTTTTGTTACAGCTTTTGTATATGTCAAAGAGAGAAATCCATGCTGCTGATGAGAACCATCTAGAAGTTTTGTAGTTGTCTGTTCCAGAAAAAGAAATCACAATATAATTTCATTAAGAAAAAAATTGAAAGCAAAAAATGAACATAATTGGTAACATCTTTGATTATATCTACATGTCTTAATGAACATATTTCTGATCATTTCTGTAGAAACTTCCAGGTTCTAAGACTATTAGAATGACTAACCTGAAAGTTAGGAATCCTGAGTTATAGCTTTAGACCTTTAGAGAAGTTTTGAACCTTTTAATCCCTGTTTCTGTCATTTTTGCATTTCCATTAATATTCAGAATTTGGAACAGATCATCTCTAGTTTTTACCTTTTTATGCTTGATAATTTTTCATTGACAGTACTGATATGCTGTCATAATATGAGTCACAGGCTGTTTATACAGAAGAAATTGAAATAACCATTTTATATATTTCTACTTGCAATCAACAATGTGAATAGACAAAATGAATGGCTTCATTTGATTTAACATTTATAAGAAAAGACTTTTTCATTCATTTAGTTTGACTAATTTATATGAAAAAAGAGCCCATTAATAAGAACATCTATAATACCAGGCTTTGATAACTGAACTAACCATTTAAAGCATGTTTACTTACTGAAAGGGTAAGCTCATACAAAAATAAAACATTTCTCTTTCACTACTCATCTAATTCCAGAGGTTAGTCTATTGTTTACAAAAATCTATCAACTCTCCTAAGTCATTTAATTTTGGTTTAATACACTATTAATACACAAACAACTAATTGAAAATTATACTTCCATATTTCTGACAAACCTTGTCCAATTAATTCTCACAAATTGCATACCATAAACTATATAGTAACAGTATACTTTGAAAAGTAAAATATAAACCTTGTATTTCTCAACATAATGGAAAAAACAGCTCTTGAAAAGTTTTCCTAAACTAATCACTGTACATAAAATTCTATTTTGCAAAGTACATAACAATGAATAAAGTTATTATATACCACATTACCAACCCCTCTTCCCAAAACCTGACAATTTTTTTTAATTATTAGGGTTTAAAAAGTAATGTTAAGCAAGAAAGAGAAATGGGGAAGAAGAAAAAAAATTCTTATAAACAGAAAAAAAAGGTGAGAAGTAGCAAAACAGTAATATAATTGAGTTTCTATTATTCCTTTAGTAATACGTTATCTCTGCCTTCCAATCTCTTCCCTCATATAGTTGCCCACTGCATTGCCTAATGACATACTGAGAGGTAAACAGATACAATTCAGTTATCATTGCTGTTTTGCTCTTAATTGTGACTTTTCAATGCATAAATGAGGAATAAAATTAACCCTTTTTAAGGTTTTATTTAAAAGTTCAGACCATTAAAAAATTTGGAAAGTGGAAATTAAATAGATGTGCACTATAACCATTTTTCATATAATTGTCCTGTCCTCAGAGCGTATTATTTTTAATGTTGCCAGTTTTTTCATTGCCTCTTCTGAGTTCCCATTTCTTTTGTTTATTACACTCAAAACAAAAGGAAATACATCAGAGCAAGAAAAGTGCTAAATATTTTATTATAATGTTGCTGGAGGGCAGTTAACAGTGCATGAAGGATGATTGTGGTACTGCCCCAACATCAGACACAGCAACACTGTCTTTTCTGGGTATCTAAAGCAGATTTTGGGGAGTCTCATAAAATCCACCCAACTATAAATAATGCAATTCATTTTTTTTTCATTAATAGCAGCATTTGGATTTTAGAAATAGCATAAAAGGTGTTTCAATGTATAACTGTTTTAATTTGGAAAAATATTTTGAAACATAATGAATGTAGGTACTACTGAAAGGGAAAGCCCCATGAATTTTCTACCACATTCCTAACTCCCTTGAAATAATAGGAAAATAATGTAAAAATGAGTAAACACGAGCTAAAGCTTAGATTATACAAATATTACTTTTCCTCTAGGAGTAACCAATATTTTACACTACAGAAAATGAAATGTTAGAAAGCTGATAATTTTTAAATGTTAATAAAACTTTAAAAAACAAAAAAAATTAACAGCATTAATAATAAATTTGGAGTTTTTTCATGAATACACATTAAAATTATTAAGAATGTTTCTCAGAGTGACTACCATTTCAAAGAGAAGAAAATAAATCTAAACAGAAATTCTACTGACATTAAAGTCACATTTTGAGCTATTTTTCTCCAGACTACCCTAGAGAATATTTAAAAATCAAATCAGAAAAAAGTAAAAAAAATAAAAATTAATCAGGAACTGAAATTCACTATACAAATAAAACATTTAACATTAAATCTAGAAACATTTACCTAAATTTTTTTTTTAATATTTATAATGTCTAAGACATACAATATATATTAAATCCCTATGGAAAATAAAATAGGTAAATATTTCACACATGCTGAAAATATCTAATAATATCTGCAATGATTTAATAAATTCCTAAGAGAATTGGTATTACTCATGATTTAAATTTTAATATAGTATTTAATACTTATTCCTAAATTTTATTATGTTCTTAATATTTAAATATTACATATAATTGACTTCAAAAATGTCAGGTAAAAGAATGAGCTTAATAACATATTTAGATATATTATACACAAAGTAAAATAAGGTTCTAAACTTCTAAAAGCCACTAATGTACAGTATAGTGTTCGTCTTCTATCCAGTCAGTAACAGACATACAGTCTTATCCAGGGTAGAGTGGGCACGAAATAAGGTAATTTAATTTGTTGTGAGAAGAAAATAGCATAAATAAAAGGGGAAAATGCCAATCAAGTAAGGATCATAACAGAACTGACAAAAGCCGTGTGGTCAACTCTTGATCACTTAACACATGCACAATTTAAAAAACACTATTTTTAATGTCCTACTTTTGTTTTCTCATGCTATCATAAAATTAATTTGTATGCACAAGGTGAAGGTGACAAATAGCATATGCAAGTAACGAAGAAACAAATGATATTATAGAGGAACACCAATCTATGATTTAAAAACTACACTGTAGTTTATTTACAAGGTGGATGATGCCGTGGAAGATAAAAATCAAGAGTTGACTCTATGGATAGTTTAATTCCTTCTTTGGGTTCCTGTTAAAGGGAGTTCTGTGGTATAATTGAAAAATGATTTCTTACAGAAGGAAAGAAGCCAGAGCAATTACTGAAAGGGTCCTGCTTGCTGATGGGTCGAACCAACAAGGTGCGTCTGTTCAGCTTGTCAGTACAGGAAAGGAAGACACCTCCATATTGCCCCAGAGACCAACACTCTTCCCCAAAGCTTGAGGTGATGGACAGGAGCAAAGAAGGTGAAAAGACAAAAAAGCAATAAAAGCCATAAGCAAAAAAATCTGGATAGTTTTTAGCTGTTCAAGTTTGTATAGGTTTAGAACTGAGCCACTGCTAGATATGGCCTCTGTCTGGACCATCTTCTGCAAAAGCATTGTTAAAGGAAATAAAAAATAATAATTTTTAGTGTAAATTTACTACTTACAGTTTATATAAAAGAAAATCCAACATGAAATCACTTAGGAATAGGAAAAACTTCTAAAAAGTCAACATAACACATTAATGATAAAGTACATTCATTAAAGCAATCCTAACCTTTGCTTTTTGAAAAATTTATTTAATTGCTATAATAGGAAAATGGTTACAAAAAACAAGCAGCTTAAAGGAATAATTAGTTTTAGTTTATAATGTAATTTTGGAAGAAGGTTCAGAAAGGATGTACACTGAGCTCTAATTCTTGTAACCATTTAATCCTATTGCATGAAAAAACAAGATAAACAGTTTATAACAAATTTTCAAGAAATCATAATTACTAAATGAGTCTCACCACAGGTTTTTCTTTGCACTGCAGAAATACTCCTTCAAAATGTCCTGACTGCCAACCTTCCCCTGGCCTGGAAAACATAAGTTCACCTTATCTGTTCTCTTCAATTTTTCTGATTTAAAAAACTGAGCGTATTTCAAATAGTTATGATGTAAACAACGCTACACTCAACTAAAATGTGGACCTGACAATTCAATCAACAGAACAATTTACCTTAGTAGCACAATCTAATAGCTCTGCATAGAAGCACATGTCATCTAGTAAACTATATTTATTGGGTTTATTATGTACTTTATTTCACCCATGAGACTATAACATCATAAAGAAATAATTTATGTCTATTTTTGTAAAACACTGTATCCCTAGTGCTTAGTATGGTACTTAGGACATAATATGCACTTAATAAATATTTTCATTAAATGAATAGAAACATAAATCATCTAAATATTTAAAACATATTATTTAACAGTAAAGTCAGTGATTCTCTAGAAGATAGACAGTAATAGTCACATCACTGGGGAATTATTTCTTTATTAATGTAACAGTCATGTATCTTTTGCAAGAATCATTTTGAACATAGATATACTATTCAAAAGGAATTAAAAAGCTAAACATTCCATTATCAAAAACCAAATATATTCACTGTTAATACAACAGAAATATTATCATATGCTTGTTAAGATTATTAAAATGGTTCTCATTTCACAAATATTTTGAACTACAAAAATCTGCAGCTGTGACAGATTTAATAGCTACTGACATGAATAATACATGTGATAAAAGATAAAAAATCAAATTGTTTTATAGAGAAACAAAAAAATAAACACACAAGGCACTGACAAAAATTAAACAAAATTTAA